ATATATATAAAATATATCATTCAAATATTTTTTGTACAGTGTCCCGTATATAAAAAACCTCAAAGGACTTATATATTGCTAGTAACATCGCTCTGGCTGCAAACTCTAAAAAATCCTGATTACTGGATATTGCGGGGAGTCGCTTTGTTATGTGATACTAAATAATTTATTAGAAATAAAGTGATGTGAAGATACATAATGTACAAAAATTTTTAAAATAAATTTATATATTGACAAAATAAATCTCAAATTTTGTATTGGAGAATTAAACAAAATATTGGCGAATGTTAGCGGCTGAAAAAAAGATCGCTAAAGATTAACGATAAAATAATAAAAAAATTATTAATTTAGCGTTTTACGTTTTGATTTTCTCATTTGCTGAAAGTTTTTTGACTTCAAGATTGGTCAATAAAAGTCGGTATTTTATCTCTCAATAAAATCTGTGAGTTCACCTCACGTGAAAGCAGTCGGTAAACAGAAAGTAGCGCACTCTGTTCCGCAAAAAGCGAACTATGACGAACTATGACTATAAAATTCAAATCTCGCGTAATGAAAATCAAGCATAATACGATATGTAACGCGAAATGGGTGCTTCGTAAAATCTGTGCCGTTGTATTCGTAATCGCGCGAAATTAATCATATGGAAGTGTGCAATCGGCATCGTTCCAACAGCGTCTGCAATGTGAGTAATTAATTGTGTTGTCCCGCATATTATAGGCAACGCGTTTTGTATTTTATTCCAATCGAGTCGCTCTTGATCTTTCAATCGTTACGCCATTATGGAATTTTCTTGGGAGATATTACAACTACACTTCAAAATGTCTTTTCCGAAGAAAATTTTATTAGATATAATATAATGTACGTTATATATGCTATATTTCGAATAAAATTTTCTTCAGAGAGGACATTTTGGAGTATAATCTAGAATTATAGTCTAATTAAATAATACAATCACATAAAGTTGTGATAAAATATTTCACTTGTATTACTTATTACATTATAATTTTTTTACATTATAATTTCTGATCGTTATAATTTCTAAAATGATCCAATCCGCTAACACTCATCAATATCTTGTTTAATTCATTTATTAAGAAAAACGGTGACAAAGTCACGTTTTAAAATAATCTCTTATTATTTTATTCTAATCGAATGTAAAATGAGGCCTTTATTCACAATTATTATATAAATCTTGTATCGAAAAACCAAACTTATAATAAAATATTGATTTGAGATACAAATAATTCAACAAATGCAGCATTTTGATTAATGATAAATTAATGTTATGTTCAACGAATTATGAAAAATGGTCGTGATATGAGGGTCTCACAGGTCTATTTTTTAAATTTACTTGTTGCACTCACAACGCTCGCAAAAACATGGCTAATCATATTTTGTACGGCACTTTCGACTTTAACTAAACATACTTTTCTATTATACAATATTGGGACGGGAAATTAATGTAAAGAAAGTACGAAAGTTTATAATCTGTATGATTTATCCATAAACACCATATATCATTTATAATTAAAACAATTTGAAAGTGACGCTGGAATTCTTATGTAACGAGTAATAATTATAACTAAACAAATACAAATAATAAAATCAAGTTAATCATCCAAAAAAATAGAATCGAAATTTAGCATTTGCGTGCGCGATATATTTCAAATGCAAAAGTCCAATAAAATAGATATCAATGATATATCGCAGTCTTCCATTACTTTAATTATTTGATCCGCATATTACTCCGCACTCTCTATTTGAAAGGGTCGAATAAATTACGTATCGACGAAAAATTCGAAACGCGAGATACA